CCAGTTCTTGTGAACTCTTTTGTTCAGTCACATAGGCTTAACATTTTATTCTGTAGCTTTATTCCCTTTAATACTGACTTCTGATCTTTATTTATTAGTTTCAACACATTGCCCAGCCGGAGAACGCTGAAAAACTCCAGACTGGTCTGCAAAAAAGATGATGTCCACGTCTGCATCATGTGCCTGCGTGCTATCATGAACTACCAGGTCAGCCCCCAAGGCCTCTACAGGGACCATCCAGTCCACACAGACTGCACGTCGCTCTGAGCGGATCCACATTTTGTTAAGCTAAATTCAGTTTTCTAAGTTGTTTTTATTATTACAAGTCCCATCTTGCTTATTCTGTGTCTCTTCTCTGGCGTATTCCTCGTTGCTTCAAAGGGATAGCGTCTAGGAATTAATTCTGTTAGTCAACAGATTACAGACACCAGTTTAGCTGCGTCGCATAGGACGACACACACAGCCGCAAGTGATAACAGTTATATGCGTGTTAACTGGATTTGGCAGTAGCTTCAAAGCTCAGAAAAGCAGTGAGTTAGTTGTAACAGATAGCCCTGCCTGACCTCTGCCTGTCTGGATGAGGCATTCTGGCTTCTGGAGAAAGAAGTGGGAGGTTTGTGATGGAGAGAGCGCTAACAGCCGCCCCATTTTGTAGCATACGGCCCGCAAACATGGGCTGACTGCAGTTAATGTAATATTTACACTCCCGGAATGAAATATTGAGCGTTGCTCTCAGCGGCACTGGCATTAATGGGAGATTAAGGCATAGAGAGAGCGTTGCCCGTCTAATGAGACGAAGTTTGAGAAAGCATTTGGATAATGTGAGTGCAGGAAGCACGGCAGCATGTTTTTCTATTCTGGTGGAGGCAGGGTTTAGTTGTTCTTTTCTTTTTTTTCCTTTTAGATGAAAAGTGACACTGTCGACCATAATGCGAGATCTATTTTTCTGAGTAACTTAGATATGTTGCTGAATGATGGGGGCTGCAGGCTAAAGCTCACAGCATTGCATCCCTCTTTTTTTCCTTCTTCCCTTCCTTCTCAATTCTTTATCATCCTCTGTCTGCCTCATTGACATCCACATGAACTCCCTGAACTGCACAGCATCTCTCTACTCCCTCTTTTTTATCTCCCAAATTCCACTCTAAACACGCTTTAGCATACTGCGAGTAACATTGAAAACAGATGCACGGTGCAAACTGTAGCTGAAATAAAATAAAAGAATGATCCTGCAGCACTTCATAAAAATGTATCTTATTAATTATCGCTTTGAAAACAGCTCTCTCTGAGATCATAGGAAGCTGTAAAGTATTTTGCAGCTTACATCAGTAGTTTTTACCACATATTGACACATGATTAATAAGTCTATGAGGTGCAATTCCTGGCTAAATCCCTGGCTTTGTTTCTCCAGCTGGTCTAAAACAAATGAAGTAAATTAATGTGTGGTTTTCTTTGCAGGTGTGTATGGAGGAGCAGCGATTCGAGAAGCTAATGGAGTACTTCAAGAATGAGGACAACAACATTGACTTCATGGTCAGCTTACGCACAGTTGTGATGACTGTTAATTGTGCTGCAATCCCCGAAAACCCTTTCTGTGAAGCCGAATGATTTTTCAGTGTCAAAAGTTCAGAGAAAATGATGTGAACTGTAATGTGTGGGCAGAAGAGGTTAGAAACAGGTCCTCATATACCTGTCTAAACCCCAATCGAACTTAAATGGTAAACATACTTGTAC